CATGACATCCCACTACCTCAAGCCATCTGAGCGATATCTTTTAGTTGCAGCAGTGCATCATGGGAGTAATATCATGACATCCCTCTACCTCAAGCTACTAGTATCGAAGCTATATCTTTTAGTTGTTAGCAGTGCATCATGGGAATACTATCATGACATCCCACTACCTCAAGCCATCTCAGCGATATCTTTCAGTTGTCAGCAGTGCATCATGGGAGTAATATCATGACATCCTACTACCTCAAGCCATCTCAGCGACATCTTTCAGTTGTCAGCAGTGCATCATGGGAGTAATATCATGATGTTCATCGTAAATAATATAACAGCACTTTATTTGCCTGATTGGACAAGTGCCTATTTTTAATAAAGTGAGCCATGGTAAAATACATCATTACACCACGTTTTTTTGAGTTTAGAATTAATCCTTTAAATGCAAAAAAAACACAATAGGAATAAATCCTGCTGTCAGATGAAATCAGCAAAAATACAGAAATAGAGATTAGTAAAGAATATAGTGACCCTTGTGTATTTGGGTTCAAAAAAGATTATTGTTGATCTTCAAAGGGTAATCAGACATACAACAGTGACATTTGTACATGGTTTTTGCTACTCTACAGCCCATGTCTCTGAATTACATTTAAAATGCAGTAGGTATAATAGTAATAAACCACTACTACAGTTGGGTATAATACTTCACAAAATATATGTATTCCCAGTAAAATAAATAATGGATGTGACCTAGTTCACACTATATATGACAGCTAGCTGTCATTTTTTTCTGTCAACAGATTTGCAAATGAACACATCTGTCCATCATTTATAAACACTTAAAGAAATAACAAATCAGATGTCGCTCATTATTCACTAAATGCAGAAGACATCAATATAAACACAGTATTAGCAGTAATTAATGTGACCAGGTGTATATTACACAACAAGAACAGCTATGATGAACACAAGAAGATAAATTTGTTGTGCACATAGAGATTATCTTGTCAGGCTGGATACGATTGACTTTTACAACACTGTTTTATGCTGGTGCCCACACAATTCTTATAGCCAAGTAATGACATGGCACCAAGTCCTTGTAGTGCATGTACAATTCAGTCATTTTGATATGAATATGAATCATATGTACGTGTAAAGGTTTGACTCGGTTTACAGAATGACAGAGATTGATGCCATTCAAAACTACCTTGCATAAGATTATAACATTTGCATGCATTTGCATGGGCACATATGTGACGTGACATGATTGGTCATTGGATGTCAAAGATATCTCACCAAAATAGCATTTGTTGAAAAAAAATTCAGATCACTAAACGAATGCAAGAGCATGTGTATTCAAAGATTGTATGTTGTGAAGTTTGAATATGATTTGTCCGGGCATGTCCAAAATGCAGAGATGTGAGCACATGCACACAATCAAGCAGGGACACAGAGATGCATAGACGTGTTTTCATTGTTCATTATTCATGAAGATGGTGAATTCTGAAAAAATTTATCATTTCAGCTGAGTTCGGTAATATAAAACAATTTTTCTCTTAAGAAAAATCACAAACTAGATAAAAATGACCAATTATATAAGACTAAACTGCTATAATAATTTGTTTGCTTTTATATAAAGGTTGAATGCAGATGAATGAACTTCAAGGTATTTATATGTGCCAACAGGAATTCCTATTGTCTGTGTGCACACATGATTTTTTTCCTACAGTTAATCTGCGAAATGAAAAGGCAGTCAAATTAATGAATGTATTTAACTGCAGAGGATGCACCTGTTTCAAAGTGGATGAATTTCTGACTATACATCTAGATATGTAATAGCATTTGTGATTTTGTTCAAATGAGGTTACTGAAAAAGGTTTATAGAGGTCATGTCATAAAAGCTGCATTCCTACTGTGAGGTGGCAAAAACAACATTTTTACACATTTTATGTGTTTGGCATGTTCTAGATGCAATTTTTCACTTACTTGCAGGAAAATTGAACAAATATTGAAAACTGCTATATGTATTTAAAAGGAAATCAGTGAGTTTTGCACCTGATCAAAACATAGTTGAACTCTGGGTGACCTTGCCCTTTGATATATATATATATATATTCCTTTATCATAGTTTGTTTCAATATGAATATGCACAGTCATAATTGAATATCATACAAAAACATTGGTGCCTAATTTGTTTAATTATTTAATTACCGGATTCTGCCGTAAATTCGCCCTGGTTTTTTAAAAATATTTTGGTGTCATTTTATGGACATTTCAATCTTTCCTGCCGTCTAAAATAGTCTATTTAAGTTTTTATTTCAAGAGTATGTTTATTGTGACTAGCGTGAATGCGTACGCTTCGTTTCGACAATGAGCAGTTATCATTGTAAACAATGTTAAATTATTAAATTATTTTTCTATTGCTCAGTTTATTTTTTGAAAACAACTATTTTTTGACTTTAAAAAAAAATCATGCTGTTTTCTCATCAAAATCCAAGTCAAAAACATCGGAAAAATCTCTTCTGCGTTGCGTTCAATAAAATTAACATATTTAAATGAGCTATGGTAATTTGAACACGTTGGCATCATCCAGCATTTTGATTGGTTAATTATCAATTTGACCTATTAGGTCATGCAAGAGAAGAACATGGCGGATACTCGACAGCGTCGATCGTTGATATGCAACCGTAATTATTTGCTTTTGATGAAACTAATTTGAATTTTATTTGAACAAATTTAATGTTTTGTATGTTATTATAATCACTACTGAGTAATAATCAACAATAAAATAAAAGAAAATGTATTTGACGTACCAGGTTCGTTAATCTGATTTTTTTGGGAGAAAAATGACACTGGGTGACATCGTAATGAAATTTTAGGCAGTCTACTTTTTAATTCAGCAAGAAAAAAATGTATCAAGTTTTAGATTAGCTTCTGAAATAGTTTCTTTCGTCTTGGGTGGCCCAACTGCCAGCATTGAAGTCGGCGTAGTTGGATTTTTCAATGAAAATACAAGTCCCCAAAAAAATTGATGATCTTTTTATGAAATTTTGACCCCCCAAGTAAGCGCCCATCAGCTGTGAAATTTTTCCAGCTTTATTCAAAGTAATTCAGATATTTTAGTATAAAAACAAATGCCTCATCTCAGAAAAAAGTGCTGCATTTAGACGTGAATAGATTCATAAAACATGCAAGATAACAAAAAATCTTAGCTGGACTGCCTTATTATATTCATTGTGACTACTGTATTATTTGAAAAGTAAAAAAAATGCCCTCTATGGATAGCTATCATGTTGCAAGCTCTGCTTTGTATGCAAATTTTGTTTTTTATGTATATTTTATTTATTGTTTTTGATTTGATAACTTTGGACTAAATAGATTTTCTATTACCAGTAGCTTCAGATCTTATTCAAAGTTTGGCACCCAAATTCATAGATGTGCTCATATTGATTTTCTGAAATCTTGTTTTCTGTAAAGATTTTATTGGTAGGTTTTTAAATGTGTATCAGACTGTGCAAAACCTCTTTCCATGAGTTGGTTTTTAAATTCAGTCTAGTATTTCCATGGGATTTTGGAGATACATTACCAAGAATATTATTAGAAGATAAAAGATTTGCTTCATTGAACACATACAACCATGCATATTTACACTGAGATCAGTGACCTTTGAATGTGTATCACCAGTGATCAGTCAAGTAAAAAGAGTCAAAATATTTTATCAGATTTTCTCAATTTTTGCATGATATTTTCATACAGGACATCTGTTGTTCATACTCAGGGAAGAGTTTATACTGATGAATAAGGTGACTGAGTTTGATAAAGTTTTGAATAGAATTAGTAAAGTTATTGTGTACACAATAATAGACAACGACGACAACGGCGGACGAAAATTTTACCCTTAATATACCTTTCCCTTCCATCTTTGATGGTACGGGCAAGGTAAAAACAAGTAGGAAACCACATACCTTTGCATTCCAGCTGAGGCCGGTAATATGATGAGTTTTAACATAAACATGTAAATCAGTAATTATCTTCAAAAATGATTTGGCCCACTCAATATGTCGCTTATCCCTGTTGACAAATAATCATTATAAATAGAATCAGTTACAGCTAATTCAAGACCTGATCCAGACCTTAGCGCAAACTACCAAAGTATAAACTGAACACGTACTAGACAAAAAAAGGTTGGCGC